GTGTGTCTGTTTGCAAGACTCGTGTCCTGTCCCGCCCTCCTCCTCCTGGCGTCTGGAAGTGCTGCAGAGCCGCGCTGTGCCCAGGTCACACGGGCTCGCACTCCTCTGCCTGGGGGAGGCACCGGTGCACTGGCGAGTTTTGCTTTGGTAGGGCCATGCTCTGGCTGAGCACTGCAGTGTAAGTCTGGGGCTGGCCCTGCTCTCCTGCACAGCCGAGTTGCTGCCCCATGGTAGAAGCGCCGTTGAGGCCGGGGAGTGGAGCTGTTGGCCAATCTGTACCCTGGGTTCTAAACGCCCTGGGCCCAGGGCACTGAGACCGTGGAGGTGACTTTCCTCTGGCTTCCCTCCGAGGCGGCGAGAGGCAGGCAGGTGTGATGTGCTTGCAGTCGGCTGGCTGCCGAGGAGAGCTCCTGCAGAGGTTCCCAAAGGCTTCCGGCCCCAGTATGTAGCAAGTGTCCAGCAGCTTTGGCACGCGATAGGCGAGTTTACACTGCAGCAGGGGGTCATGCCCACAGACAGGAGCGGCCCTAGACTAGCTGCCAGCAGCTGGAGCCCTGGGCGACCCAGGCAATCGGCACCCCCATCCCTCAATGATATGGTGCCCCATTGCACCCCTTCAACTTGTCACCCTAGGCGACCGCCGCGTTCGCCTATATGCACGGGCTGCCCCTGCCCACGAAAGCTCATGATACCAGCTACCAATGGTATTCGTCTCTAAGGGGCTGTAGGACATAAGGATGGCCAGGCTGGGTCAGACCAAAGGTCCATCTAACCCAGTATCCTGTCTGCCCACAGTGGCCAATGCCACATGCCCCCGGAAGGTGATCTCTCCCCTGTCACCCACCTCCAGACAAACAGACGCTGGCGGCACCATTCCTACCCATCCTGGCTAATAGCCATTGATGGACCAAACCTCCATGAATCTATCTAGCTCTTTTCTGAACCCTGTTAAAGTCCTAGCCTTCACCACATCCTCTGGCAAGGAGTTCCACGGGTTGGCTGTGCTCTGAGTGAAGAAAAACTTCCTTTTGTTTGTTTTAAACCTGCTGCCTATTAATTTAATGTTGTGATCCCTAGTTCTTATATTGTGAGAATAAGTAAATCACTTTTCCTTATTCTCTTTTCCCACATCAGTCATGATTTTATAGACCTCTATCATATCCCCCCTTAGTTTCCTCTTTTCTGAGCTGGAAAGTCCATGTCTTTTTAATCTCTCTTCATATGGGATCTGTTCCAAACTCCTGATCATTTTTTTTGTCCTTTTCTGAACCCTTTCCAATGCCAGTAGATCTTTTTTGAGATGAGGAGACCACATCTGTAGGCAGTATTCAAGATGCGGGCGTGCCATGGTTTTATATAGCGGCAATAAGATATTCTCTGCCTTCTTCTCTCTCCCTTTTTTCATGACACCTAACATTCTGTTTGCTTTTTTGACGGCCGCTGCACACTGAGGACCATTAACCCTGCCTCTCCCTCTGAGACTTTCACTGCAGAGTGTTAACGGCTCACCGGTGGGCCAGTCCTGAAATGCTCCGTCCTCCGCTTCCTTCTCGGGACTGTCAGGCGTCTCCCTCGGCGAGGGGAATCCCCCCCGGTTTTATGGGCCGGTCTGCGATGGCCATCCCTGCGGGAAATCCCACATCTTGGTTCACAGGTGACCGAAGATTGCAGAGGAGCAGGGCTACTTGGACTTCCCAGCTAGAGCTTTCCAAGGACCGTAAGCGGGCTGCCCTGCATGCCATAGTGCCCAAGCGGAGGAAGGACACGTTAACATTGAGGTGAGGAGGTCGTTTCCTGGCATGTGATGGGGAAACCAGGGCCTGAGGCAAAGCCAGCTCAGAGGCAATCGTGGTTATAACCCTAATTAAGTGGCTGCCCTCCGGCGTCTCCTCTTGCCCGTTGAGCTCTGTGCGCTGTTGCCTTCTGGTTGCAGGGCTAGTCAGGCTGTTCTGACCATTGCTGGTGGCCTGGCCAGCATGGGAGAAGCAGAACTGTAGACTCCCTGCTCAAAAGAGCATTGAATCCTCTGCTGCCCGCTCCCTGCTCTGGGTGTGTCTGTGTCAGGGCAGGCCTCCCCTGCCTCTCCCTCTGAGACTTTCACTGCAGAGTGTTAACGGCTCACCGGTGGGCCAGTCCTGAAATGCTCCGTCCTCCGCTTCCTTCTCGGGACTGTCAGGCGTCTCCCTCGGCGAGGGGAATCCCCCCCGGTTTTATGGGCCGGTCTGCGATGGCCATCCCTGCGGGAAATCCCACATCTTGGTTCACAGGTGACCGAAGATTGCAGAGGAGCAGGGCTACTTGGACTTCCCAGCTAGAGCTTTCCAAGGACCGTAAGCGGGCTGCCCTGCATGCCATAGTGCCCAAGCGGAGGAAGGACACGTTAACATTGAGGTGAGGAGGTCGTTTCCTGGCATGTGATGGGGAAACCAGGGCCTGAGGCAAAGCCAGCTCAGAGGCAATCGTGGTTATAACCCTAATCAAGTGGCTGCCCTCCGGCGTCTCCTCTTGCCCGTTGAGCTCTGTGCGCTGTTGCCTTCTGGTTGCAGGGCTAGTCAGGCTGTTCTGACCATTGCTGGTGGCCTGGCCAGCATGGGAGAAGCAGAACTGTAGACTCCCTGCTCAAAAGAGCATTGAATCCTCTGCTGCCCGCTCCCTGCTCTGGGTGTGTCTGGCTCCCTGTGGCAGGGCCTGTCTGCTTTTGCATGCCCAGAACCTAGCCCAGTGGGGCTGGGCTCTGACCAGCTCCTCGGCGCTGCGGAACGGGAGATGATAAATCACCTGGACCGCTGCCATGTGCCAGTGGAGCGAGGGTTGTGATGGGGGGTCTCGGCTGAGTGGAGGTGAGAGAGCTGGGCCTGCAGGGAGTCTTGTGGAGCTAGCTAGCCCTTTTGAAGCAGGAGCTGCCGGGCATGGGAAGGAATGCAGGAACCTGGAGGCCGTGAGAGAGCCCCCTCTTGGGGCAGGCGCCCCCTGGCTCCAGTGACCACCCTCCCTGGCCTCTGTAGAAGGAAGTTCAAAATGGAATTCCCACCCCCTGGCCAAGGACGGGTGGGTGGGGCCTTGTCTGCTAGAGCTGCAGTCCCCTGGGGCTGGGAACAAGGAGAGTGCAAAGCACGAAGGGCTCGGCTCAAGGCAAGAAAGCAAGAGGCATTGAAAGGCAAACGCTCCATTGTAAGACTAAGCACGGGAACCGAGCGAGCGCTGCGCTCTGCTGACTGGCGCTTTAATCCTCCGGGCGCGCGTTCCTGCCGGTC